ACGCCAGCCGGGGGGGAGCCTCTCCGGTGAGTGGAGCCGGGCAGTGGGAATTGCCGTGGGCTGTCCGAGGAACTGCTGTGGGTGTCGCGGGATTTCCTGAGCAGGACTTTCAGCTTTGCTGAGCTGTGGGGGGGACAGCAGGCGGGACAGCGGGGGTTTTGGAGACTACGTGGCAGCGAGCAGGGGGTCTCGGTGGGGTGAACTCTGAGGCATCCCCCAGCCATGGCCCATGGCTCGCGTTGGGGGGCTGTTGCTGGCCTGTGAGACCCCTACTTGTGCACCCAAAACCCAAAACCACGCAGCCGAAGTAAACCCTGAGCTGTGTCCCCAGCCAGGAGCCCTGGCTGCAGGAGCTGAGGGTCTGCAGGCAGGATCTGTCCCTGTTCCTCTCCAGCAGCCATTGCACCGCCCTCTTTTGATAGGGAGCAAACCTTGTGCGTTCATTGTGGCCAAACAGGCTCCTGAACAGGAGTTTAAAAAAAGCAAAAAGCTGGTTTCCGCAGGCGTTGCCATGCCCTGTGCATTTCCAAGCCCCTTTTTTAAGCAGCAGCCCCTCCAAAGGGTGTTTGGGAGTCACACACGCAGGGATCCCATTTCCCTGCTGGAAGGGGGTCCCAGCAGCCCTCTCAGGATTGTGTCCCTGCGGCTTGCCCCAGCCCAGCACCCTGTGATGTTGCTACCACCAATGCGGTGCTGAGCTCTGGGGCTGGCTGGGAGTCCCCTCCCCGTGCCAGCAAGGTGTCTATTGGGGATTTGCAGGTGGAGATGTCCTACGTGAGCTGTGCTTTGCGGGCGGCCGCCCCCCGCCACCTGCCAGCCCCCTGGAGAAGCCCCCGGCCCTTCAGCAGCACCTCAGGCCCCACGACGAAGAAGAGTGTCCCATACCAGAAGACACTGAAGGAGGAAGGCTCTGGGAGCAAGGAGCCCAGCCGGCCCCTGCCACCCTTGGCTGAGGTGGTGGTGGTTGGAGGGGGCAGCCTGGGCTGTCAGACCACCTACCACCTGGCCAAGCAGGGTGTCAGCAGCGTGGTGCTGCTGGAGAGGGACCGCCTGACCTCAGGCACCACCTGGCACACAGCCGGTGAGGCAGCGGGAGGGGGTGGGCACAGTGTGGGTGCTAACTGAGGTGGGGGTGGCGGGCGTGGGGATGCCCATGGCTTGGGATGTGCCATGAGTGGATCCATTGTGCAGGCTGTGCCAGAGAGTCTTGGCTTTAAATGGGGAGAATTTCAAGGTTTCTGGTTTTCCTTTTGGTATAAATTTTTGTTAAGAAAACATCCCCTAAATTTTCTTTTTGAAAAAAGTTTTATATGGCCACAGGAAAAGGAAACAGTTTATTTCCACACCTTCTTTTTCTTTAAGCCACTTTTCTTTTGTAGGGAAGGGAGAGCTAGAAGAGGTTAATTCATAGAATCATAGAACAGTTTGGGTTGGAAGGGACCTTTGAAGAACATCTAGTCCAACTCCTCATTAGGCTTCCTTGGATTATGTCTCTTTTGGGACGGACTGCTCCATAACCCCCTTTTTTTCTCATTCATTTAATGCACGTAGAAAATAGAAATCGAGGATTTGTAGCACCTCCACGTCACCACGAGATGGAGCAAGAGCCCGGGCAAGGGGACACCGTCACGCGTGGGGTGATGGGTTCCCCTCTGCATCCTCCCTCGCCTGATGGAGGGGTGGCAGAGTCCCCTGTCCCACCCGTGGGCTGTGTGTCCCCCCCACCCAGGTCTCCTGTGGCAGCTGCGTCCCAGTGATGTGGAGGTGGAGCTGCTGGCCCACACGCGGGACGTGGTCAGCCGGGAGCTGCCGGCAGAGACGGGGCTGCACACGGGCTGGGTGGAGAACGGGGGCCTCTTCATCGCCTCCAACAAGCAGCGCCTCGACGAGTACAAGAGGCTCATGTCGGTAGGGAGAAGCCCCTCGGTGTGTCACCCATATTCCCTGAAATCTGTGTAGCCCACTCTACTCCACACTAGATTTAGGGCTTTCCTTGGGGCAGCAGTTGCCTTAACTGGGAGATGAACAGGTCCTGGGGATCTCCTCTTCCAGCAGCAAGCGATAGGCAAAGGTTTCATTGCCTCTTTGGACTCCGACTATTCTTGTCTGGTTGGCAGCTGGGAAAGGTGTATGGTGTGGAGTCCTACGTCCTGACCCCAGCCCAGACCAAGGACCTGTACCCGCTGATGAACGTCGATGACCTGTATGGCACGCTGTACGTCCCCAAGGATGGCACCATGGATCCAGCCGGTACCTGCTCAACTCTCGCCAGAGCAGCAACTGCCAGAGGCGCCACGGTAGTTCCTAATTAGTAATCACTAATCAATGCCTGTAGACCACGGGAGGAGATTTCAACCTCTGCCTTCCTTAGCTCCTTCTTTCCCACCAGAGCAGAGCTGGTCCTGCAGTGTCAGGTCTCTGCTTAAGAAGGGTCTTCTCCTGTTTAGCTTTGATGGCTTCTTGGGTCACAGCAACAAAACTGGCAGGAATCGTGAGCTCTGGGTGAAATAGAGGATGAAAAAAAGACCTTTAGGGCCTTTAGTGTTACTACCAGCAGTAATGGTAATAGCTGTTGGGAAAGGGAGGTGCCCAGTGCCAGACCGCTGTTTAGAGTCACCATTCCCAGATTTGGGGGTTAGACATCAGACTGCCCTTGCAACCCTGCCGTGACTCTGCTGCCTTTCCTTTACCCCCAGATCATCGAGAACTGCCCTGTCACTGGCATCCAGGTCAGAGCTGACGATTTTGGGGTGAAGAGGGTGTATGCTGTGGAGACGGCGCATGGGACCATTCAGACTCCCTGCGTGGTGAACTGCGCAGGTACTGGGGGCACAAAACACAGTGGGGAAGGACCAGGGCTGTGGCTGTGGGGCAGGGAGTGGCTTTGCATCCCATGGAGAGTCTGCATTGGTCCTCGTCCACCCCATCTGGCTGTCACCTCCAGACCACTGCAGGGCTCCAGGGCATGGGGAGGTGCTCAGTGTGGGGGTGCTCTCTCTGCAGGCGTGTGGGCGCAAGCCCTGGGTCGGTTGGCTGGCGTGCACGTGCCGCTGGTGGCGATGCATCACGCCTACGTGGTGACCGAGCGCATCGAGGGCATCCAGGTCAGTCTCCTCAGTTCTGGAAGGTGGGACAGACTCCCCCCCCCAGACCTTGGAGGGACCCCCCAGCATTCCT